TTTGTCGAGAAGGCCCATGAAGGTTGCTTTAATTACGGAAGCGCCACGGAAAGTGGAGCTCTATTGCTCTATGGCTCAAAGCTATGGTGGAATGAAGGATAAGGTGGGGGGAGTAGGAAGATATTTATAGAGGTTTTGTCTTTTATTAAAGTTTTGGTTGAAACTTTTCTATGATATTTTTTTAGGGTAATAATTTTAGAAGATATTTTAAGGGGTCAAAATAGTTAAAATGTTTATTTTTTAAAAGAAAAAAAGATTTCAGGACGGATAATTTCCTAAGCTCTTTCCAATTTTACCTTTGAGTATATCGTTATTCGTGATAGTAGATGTTAATATTACTGTTGATAGTGTGCGTCGATGTTAATGTCAACAACGTGCATTGATTTTATCACTATTAGTAGAACTATAGAAGTTTGCATTGTTATCAATGATGGATGTTAGCTATAATGGAGATGACGAGCATCAATCTTTTTTTTTTGGGGACATTTAGGTAATTTAAGGCAAATTCATACACACAATGCATACACAAGAACTCGAATCCAATACCTCTTAGTTGTAAGTCTAAGCTCACAACCAACAGGCCAAGATCTTTGACGTATCAATTATAAATAAAATATTAAATGGCCTGAATTTAATCTAAAATTGTCACACTAATTAATATATTAATTGCATGAATATAAAAATTAAATTTAGTCAATTTTAAAAAATATAATTATAGGTATGTAGTATACTCTAAATGATTTCTAGATTAAAATCCTTTATTTAAAATAAAAATATTTCATGATTCTTTTTTGTTTTTATAATATTAAAGTAACTTTAAATTTTAAAAATCAATTTTATTCTTTTTTACCAAATATCTAGTAAAAAATATATACGGGATATTATCTGATTCAGATAAATTAAAAAAAATTAAATTTATTTTAAGATTAGGTATATATAGTACTAATCTTAAAGTAAATCCAAGGCCATTAAACTGATCTTATTATAATTTATATTAGGGCTTAAGTTATGCTAATCAGGATGGTGACGTGTCAGGCGGGTAAGGCGAGAATAGAAGCTCCGGATAAGATCAGACGTTCACGGGTGGGCCTCGGGCCGAACCGGGTCAGCGAGAGCGCCACGTGCTTGTCTGCAAATGGCCCGTGGGACCCGCCCACGTCGTTACCAAGGTTGTGGGCCCTGCATGCCCTTTTCTTAAGATGGCAATTTTGTAAAAAAATATGCGACATGAGACGTAGAGGAAAGTCCGGTCGAAGGCCAAATCGCATCAAAAAACGAGAAATATCGAACAAATACCTAGCAATACCAAACAATAACGAGGAATACCATCACATGAAGACCCAATACCGAGTTATACAGAGCAATACCGAGTTATACAAAAATTGTACGGAATTTTTCCTAAAAAAACTCGGTATTGCTCAGTATAACTCTATATTGATCTTCACAGAGCAGTATTCCTCGTTACTATCAAATAATACCTAGCAATACCAAGCAAATACTGAGTTTTTTTTGCGAAATTTTGCCTCCGACCGGACGTTTCTCTATATCCTTACACCGGACCTAATAAAAGTTTGGGTGATAAGTTTGGTGTATTTAATTTTTATCATTTTATTTTTGAAATGGAAAAAAATTAGATAAGATAGTGAGGGTAATTAAAATTACATTTTTTGTTAATTTAGATTAAAAAAGTATATATCAAGAATAAATGAGAATATTATTTTTGACGAAATGATAAATAAAAAATTTAAGAAAAAATATTTTTTTAGTGATTTAAGGCATAAAAAGATGAAATTATTATTTAGATTTAGAGAGACGTTGAAATTAAGGCAATCAATTTGTTAATGAATATTTTTAATTTTTTTAGTAATTTACTCAGTGAGTTTTTTTTAAGAAAATAACATATTTTAAAAGAGTAGAATAAATAATATAATCAAGTATACTATACTAATATAAAAAAAAAATTGTCCATCAGATGAAAATATTATTATGATATTTAATCATATGCCTTCTCAATATCAATAAAATTAATCTATATGATGAAATATTAATTACTTTTAAAATAAATATAAAATAACCTAAAATTTTTAATTACTATATATTTACATCAACTTTATGTACTGATTATAAAGATGCTTAAATATAATATTGAAAAGAAAGTGCATAGATTGTTATTTTCAGTATATGATATAGTTCTAAATGATAATACATCCATTAAAATAAATAAAAAATAGAGTAATAAAGAAAATATCTAATGCATGAGAAATTCAAAAAATTAGTATGCTTATTTGATTTGTTATTAAGTAAAATACTAACATTTATCTATCAATGATATATATATATTTTTAAGTTTAAATGTTTTTATAAAGGGAAATTTACATACATACCACTTTATTTTATGTTATTTACATATATAACACCTAAAACATTAATATTACATGTTTACCACCCATATACAACTTTAATATCAAATATATCACTCCTATAATTCATTTAGACCATTCATACTATCCTATAAACTTTAATATTTCATTCTATACACTCAAATTTGTTCTAAGTGTGGTAGGCATGTAATATTAATATTTTGGATGCTAGATATGTAAATAGCATGAAATAAAGTGGTATATATGTAAATCCCCCTTTTATAAATTCCATTTAATATTTTTTTCTCTTATCAAATGTCTTCCTCAATGTGTTACTCATCACTATCTAAAGACTAAATGACATTCAAGACTATAAGAAACAAAATGTTTGTAGTCTTTGTTGATGTTAATTGAAGATGTCATCAACAATAATCAATCAGTTCTATTCTAATTTCCAATTGATGGATGTGAGTAGTATCCTTATTGTTCTCAAATACCATTTTTATTTATCTTAGGCTTTGTTTGTGACAGCTATCTCACAACTTTCTAAAGCAAATTTCAAATATAAAAATTTGTTCCAAAAGAAACCTTAATTTCTTGAGAAGCATATAGCTAAGGAGAGGCAATTGCCCCTTAAAAAAATTAAAACTCTTAATATAACAATGATTATTTGTAATCTGCACCCCCTCCCTGAATTTTATTTTATACCCCCAGCCGATATTTTTTCATGCAATTTGCCCCTCCAAAAATTGGAAAGCCTATTGACTTCCCGCTATTTTCATCAATTTTTCTAAAACTAACAAACAAGTTTGTGAAAAGTGATTTTGTGCGAAATACATTATTATTGCACCCTTATATATATTTCTATTTTTTTATAAGTTTGTCACTTACCCCTGAGAACTAAGGCTGGTTCTACCCCTGATTTTTATACAAATGCTAATTCTCCTTGGTGTAAATTTGCGAACTAACAGTGTGTGAAACTGATATGATCCTCATGAAGGATTCTTATGAGCAATGAAAATCCCTTAAGCAGAAAGGAATAATATCCAACTAAAAAAGATCACACGTTACCTTAATGACATCAGAGTGAATCATATTGGGCTTGGTAGATTCATCTTGTTGAGAAGCTTGATTGGACTGTAAGCACATAAGATTTGAAGATAATTCAGTATCTCAAATAATGTCACAAAGTTTTCAACTACACTTCCAAGTGTTTCATTGGGCTCTTTTGGACTTGAATCCAAACGCTTTCGTGTTGTTGAACTCGCCTTGTCAAAATATTCGTTTCGACTAAAAGCTTGCTAAAATTGGAGTTCATATGGCCCAAAATTTAATTTAACAAGCTTACGATTCACAAAGCTCTCAATCACACTTCAAGTGTTTGATTCGTGCTCTTTTGAACTCCAATCAAAATTACTTTCTATGTTGTTGAACTCTCCTAGTCAAAATATTCATTTCGAGTATAAGTTTACTGAAATCAGAGTTCCGATGGCCTTGACTTCAATTTCAAAAGTTATAAAATTCAAATATTGCATCAGGTGAGGATTGATGCTTGATCAAACAATTTTTTTGTTGACATGTCAAGTAAAAAAAACATAAAGATAGAGCAAACATCACATGATGCCTGTAGCAACTTTAAAGAGCTCCCAAGCCCTCCATTAATTGGCAACCAGAAAGACTGCCTCATATGTCCCCATCTTAAATGTATAATGTCATAAAATATAATCAAATACATACCCACAATTTGAAGTTTTCATAATAAATATTCAGCTTTTGCCACCTCTACCCCCCTCCTTAAAATAGTACAGGTAAATTATTTCTCTAGCTCCATTATTGGCTCCAGTCAATATGGATTGCGATTGTTAAGACTATGATGATGCTATGATTTAGTAAAACCTCATATTTATCTATTTTGTTATTAGCCTCCAAATTCTAAAGGGCATTGCTTCAAGCAAATTGATCTCCTGTAACCAATAGCAATACTTGCAATTCTTCATATAGCTTTGTCACCTAAGTCCATATTATCACGAGAGAAATTATTCTGTGCAGAGATTGGAAGCTGAACGTCATCCGGAGACCAAACAGAATGTGTCACGTCAACGGTACCAAGCCACGGTACTGAGCAGTACTGAACAGTATCGAGCACAGGAGTGATGTGGCACATTTTTGTTGGTCTTCGGACGACGTTCAACGTCCACGCAGAATAATTAATCTTATCATCAACACAAGTTACAATAGTTTTTCATAGGGGTGCAACCGAGTCATTAACGGGCTCGACGAGTCGAGCTTATTGAGCTCGCGAGTCGAGCTCTAACACAATTTCGCGCTCGACAACTTAACGAGCCCGAGTTCGAACACCCAATTGCTTGACTGGCGAGCTCGTCGAGCAGCTTGTGTAACAGCGGCGGGAAAATGGAATGATGCAAGCAGAAAGACGCGGACGCGGGGAAAATGAAACCACAGAAAAATGAAAGCCGCGGCTCGTTCGAACTTCGGACTAAGAAGATGCTGCTAGTGAGCTTCCGGTTCGCTTCCTCAGCCTTCATCTTGGATAGCTCTCCTAGATCCTTCATCGGCACAAACTCTCGCAAGCCACGTATTCCCGGGAGATGGTTCACCGTCATCACCGGTGCCGACATTAACAGGTTGAGACGTCAAAGCCACCACCGCGAGCGACGTCGAAGCATCCCGCTCGGTTCACCTTGCAAGCGACATCGAAGCATTCTGCTCGGTTCACCCGCATCGCCGACATAAAAGCCACCACTGCCAATGCCACATGTGAGCTAATCTTTCTCCTTTGAATATCTTAGAGCATCCACTTCTTTCCCCTCTTGAAACAGTCGAGCTTGCGGACGATGCATAAATGATAGAAAGATGCAGATGATGCAGGTGTTGATGCAAGCAGACGACGCAGGCGCTGACGTGGGACTTGTTAATAGGCTCGAAGTGCGGCTCGACGAGCTCATTTTCCCTTTGCCGAGTCGAGCTCGACTTTTGAGCTTTACTCGAGCTTGAGCTCGGTATTTGATAGTCGAGCTCAGCTCAAACACACTCTGACTCGAGCTCGACTTGACTCGTTTGCACCCTTAGTTTTTCAAGATTAATTGACGCCTGCACCTCTTTACATAGCTTTGTCTTCAAAATCGGTCACATCTCAAGCACTTCTTCATTAATTTTCATCAACTAAATTAATCACATCACTTCTTCATCATCTAAATCAATCACATCTCTTGCACCACTTCATAGAATTTTGTCATGAAGAACACTTCAATTATGGCACAGTAATTTTTTTCAAACTACAGTAAAGAGCTCACTTTTTGTAAAGTTAGTCAGAAAACCCATGAAATTCCAAATAAATCTAGAAGTAAATAGATAAAAAAATGAAGGCAAATGTAAGGAGGAAATCAGTGGCATGAAGAAAATAATTGGAGGAATGAAGGAGTTACCTATAGAGAGAAACAGACAACAATGACTTGATTGCGGCAAAGTTTGCCGCATCCTATTTTCATGCTCAGGTGGATGCTTGGAGATGTCGACTGAAAATAGGGCTTTAGAGGGGAGAAGGAACGGCATCGAGCAAGGCATTGATGCATCTCCAACCGAACTGTAAAAGTCCGTTTGCAACTAACACAAGCCTTCACCCGAACCCAAAAAAATGAATTTTTAATTATGTGAACAGTGTGACGCCAACTATTCACAGAAACCTATTTTTTTGGGTTAATATGAAGATGAGAAAGAATTTATATGGAATATTATTTTTTGATGTTAGAAATGAAGTTCGGATGAAGATGCATTATTGTTATTACTATATTTTGAGGAGTTCAGTTGGAAATGCCCTAATCACTTTGCAGCGGGGAGAGATCGAGAAAATGGTGAGAATGCAAGTGTTGTAGTGGTTGTATAGGGCTACATTGAATGAAGGTCTATGATTAAATGACTAATTTTAGATTTAGAGCATTACTATCGTTCCGATGGGTTTGAATCTCGATCCAAACCCATTAATTACATGGGTCAGAATTTTGAACCCAACCCTAACCCAAATATTAATCAATTTAATCCAAACACATTATTTGGGTCAGATTCTCGTATAGTGCTAGTATTTATATAAAGACAAGAAATTAGAACAATAAAAAACTAAAATAAAAGAGAACATACTCTATATTACATATATATTATAAAAACTAATTCTATAAAGCATACAAGATAATATTAATTTGGCAATCTAATATTTCTACCAACTCTAAAAATGTTCATAGACTTACTCTAATAATGTCTTCCTAAATGCATAATGTCAAATAAGAATTAAAATATTTTGGAAAAAATAACATTAAAAATCTCTCTAAATATTCAATTTATATTTCACTAATCAGTTACAATTGTATATATAAACTTAAAAAATTGATGCCCTAAGATATCCTGATTCATTGAATGCGAGTACAAACAAAAAGAGAATTATGAAATATGAATTTAGGATCTGAAATCAAAATTAAAGTTCAGATGTAGATGCCCTAAGATATCCTGACTCATTGAATGCGAGTACAAACAAAAAGCCATAATTATTCAAATAGAAGAACGGGAAATATTTTCAAAGAAATATTTGATAAGGATCTGAAATCAAAATTGATCAATTTGTATCATAATACAAGAGCAAATTTAGCTACACATTTCTCATTTCATGATTCATGTTTATATAGGTACAATAGCTAAAAAGAGAATTAAGAAAGAGTACCAGTACAGGCTGTGACTGGCTCGGCGCCAACCTTACGTTTGGTGCTGTACTTCTTTGTAATGAACCTGAAAGGAACGGGAAAATGATAATAATGTTCTATTAACCAAACACACACCTCTCCAAATAAAATAAAAGAAGAGCAATTAGCAATTTAGATTATAAACTCAGTGCATACCGGTCAAAGTGATACTTAAAATAACTCAAACTTATTTGGAAATTAAAATAACACAGCCATTTGAAAAGATCAAAATAATCCCCAGCTATATTAAAATATCATTTTGGTCCATTAAGTTCTTTAAAAAGAACTAAAATAACTACAAGGTAAGACTATTTTGGTTCCTCCTTAAAGAGTTGAGGGACCAAAATGATCATTTAATATAATTTGAGATAATTTTGTCTTTAATAAACAGTAAATGGACTATTTTGATACTTTCTCTAAAAGTAATTAATTGTGTGCATTCTTATCCTCTATTTATAGAGAGATTATTTTCATGACAGGTAATATAACTACTATTTAAAGTTGCCACTATAAAAGGGTTCAAATAAGTAAATAATTCAAATCAAGCTAAGAGAATAGATAATGGAAGGGCCACATGGGAAGAGGGCAACCACCTTACTACCGTCAATCCATGAGGTAGCCCATGTCATGGACAACCAGCAAAAGAAAGTTGGGTGTGGATAAGAACTTATCTCTCCTTATTCCACCTTTTAAATTTCATCCAAAATTATCTTTATTTATCTCTTAGCATTACCATATTATTCTATTCAAGTAAAACCTTAATTTCAAGAATTAGAGCAAGGCTCCTATTAATCTATCAATCAGAGGCTATTTTAAGGTACCTTTTCTGTCAGGTTGGGTCGACTGCCTCCTCTGACTAAGTAAACCAGGAATTATGATAGCTCGGGATGACAGAACCATGGGATCTTGATCGGGCTCGTCTTCATTCCCCCATCACCAGTTTTAAATTCATGATGATAAATTCCAAATCATAAAATCAAATTCAAACCCTAAAATTGTTGCTATTATACACCGGATTTACAACCTATATAACCTCTTCAACGACTAGCCTTAATCGAAAGTTCTCTCTCGTTATCGAAAGGGGTAATTAGGGGTTTGCGCCTATAGGAAACCAGAACTCAGATCATTAACTCCTCACAAAATGGGGGCAAAATCTCTGGGTAGTGTCTCATCTAAAACCCAATCTACCTTCTAAAAATTCACCCGGAACCTAAAACCGTTAAAACTCTCCGCGGTCACAAATCAAAGAAAAAGAGATATGACGCGGAGAGGCCGGGCTATGTGAATATGAAATTTTTGGAGCCCACAAAGAAAGGAAACAATAGTAAAGAATAAAAGAAAATTAATCAGCGCAAGGGGATTCAAAAGGAGATAAAGGCAATTACAAATGAAGATAATCACAATTAAGAAAAAAACAATTTTGCTTATCTTTCTTCTCCCAGCGTCCTCTTTTACCATTTTCATGTTTAAGATTTGCATGAAATTCTAATTTTTAACATAAACTCTAGCAAGTTCTGTTCAAGTACCTGTTACACTCTAATGTGACACTAAAGAAAAATGAAACTAAAAGTTCACCTCAAATGCCTTTCCCTACCAGAAAAGAACCAGCAGAGAAAAGATTAACTCTAATTCAAATAAAATTCAATAAGCCTGTAGGCAAATTAAAGTACATGTAATATAATACGATTCCTGCTTCCTCGATAATCATTAATTTAAAGTGCATATAAAATAATATGTTTCCTCGATAATCATTAATTTAATGCTCATTTATGTTAGTTTTATTTAGATAATTGAACTTTCCTGGAAAAGCCTGGAAGCTCGATATATAAATAAATAAATTTTAATATAAATTTACTCCTGACCTTTGTGAATAAGCTTGTTTATCAATTATCAAACAAGCAGTTCACTAAGGGCTCAAAAAACCCCTTATTTAATGATAGTTCGAAAGGTTATTTAACTACTTATTTCTTGATCTTTTTTTCTGCTCCAAGCACTATATATATATATAGCTATAAATACTAAAAGTTTATATTTAGCAAATAACTTGAAGACTCAATTTAATTTTAATTATTTTTATCAAGCATTTGAGTTTCGAAAAGGATTATAATATTGAGTTAAATAATGTTAATTTTGATGAAAACTATGAATGCCTTTATGTTCTGTAACAAAACTATAAGCTAAACAGACATTAACAAGATGAAAATTAGTTTTACCTGAAAAAATCCCGCCACAGCAATTCAAACATCAACCAATTCATTCCACTGCCTCCTGAAGCATCAACATTTTTCTGAGTTTTGCTTGAAATTGCCCTGGAAAGGTAGCAAAATTCCATTAACAAATTCAAAAAAGCTTAAGATTATATAAATAAGTTATAAAAAAAATATGTAAAGCAACAAATAAGCCCTAAGCAATGTGGTCTAAATGTTGATTTCTCCTGCATTATAATATTGAGTTAAACATGTTTTCTAACTACGTTAGGTCTAAAAGTATATATATATGCTGGCAACCGTTTTTTTAAGGTGATCAAAGGCCTTAATGAAGATGGAACATGTTTTACTTCATGCTTTGCAAGTTCTTTCTTGATCATATGGGTACTGAAGGCAGTAAGTGCAGATGACAACATGAATGGATATGCTAAATGACCCACTTGAATGGGATTACATTAATGAGCAGGCCATAAAATATGTTCTGGAAACTGAGAATTACAAACCTATTTGCAGTCCTCTTGAGTTCCTCATACATGAAACGGGGAGAAAGGCATCCCATTGCTAACCAAGGAGAAATTTTGCAAGAGAAATTAGCACCATAGATACTATCCTGAGCCCCATTTCTAAACCCTTTGTTTGGCTGAGCACAACATTCAACTGCAAATTTCCTGAGCCTTTCCAAGGCCTCAGTCTCACCACCCGCAAGAGAAGCACTAACTGCTGGCTTTCCATCCTGGATGACATGAAACACCCTTAGCACTCCTATATCAATGAATTGAAGTTCTACATTCATAAGATTGCTTCAGAGATGAAGAAGCCGCTTTGCAATTGTGTTGCCGCAAGTAATGAAGCAAGTGGACATACAATAGAGTGCCTTATATCACACATTTCCGGCAAAAATAAACACTTGATATGTTAGATTTTTCAAAAAGTAAAGCAGCTGACAAGGCCTAAAAAATTCATTAAAGAAGAGACATGCAACAGGTAAAGCATCAATTCTTTTAAAACGATCTACCAATACCATGATGGAATCATGTCCGCGTTTAGTGCGAGGTAAACCCACGACAAAATCTAGACTTAAATTTTAGCAAATTAAGCCCGACACGGGTAATGCAAGATATAAACTAGCATTTTGACTTCCTCCTTTCTAATTTTGGCAAACAGAGTGAATTAAATCCCAACAAAGATGTGGCCAAAAAAAATCTGAGCTGAGGTTGTGCAATTGTTTTTTTATGACCAACATGGGCGGAAAGACCCCCGCTTTATAATTCCTTAATCAACTATTGACGCTAAGAGGACTGCAGGATGCATAGCAAATTGTTTTTGAAGAGAGCGCCTGATAGAAAATTCAGCAACTAAAGAGTTGTTAATACAGTTATGCCAACAAAAACTGAAGTCTTTGTCAGTAGCATATGATTCCTTTAAACATTCCAAGCCTATTATTTCAGTTTGTAATTGATTTAGGAGAGCTGACTGATAATTGAGAACATCAGCAACACAATTTTGAAAGCCATCCTTATGTTTTAAAATAAAAGTAAATTTTTGTAAAAAGATAACCCATGAGCATACATCTGATTTACTATTTTCTAATTTTTGATATATTATAAGGCTTGATGGTCGCTGCATAGAAAAAAATGTCGATGTAATAAGTAGTTTTCCCATTGCTCAAAAATTGCATAAAGTTCATGTTCATAAACAGACCATCTTTGCTTTTCAGGACTTAATTTTTCATTGAAAAACTCAACCAATCTATATGTTCTTGAGGCAATTTTGCACCAACACCACACTGGATGCACATGTATCAACATTAAAGGTTTTTTCAAAATTTGAAGGGCAAGGGCTGGTGCCGAAGACAACACATGTTTAATTGCCTCAAAGATGCGCAGTTGTGCTTCAGTCCATTGAAATTGCTTTAATTTCAAACGATTAATAATGGGAGTCATAAGTATATTGAAATCTCAGATGATCTGTCAATAAAAATTTGTCAATCCATGAAAACTTCGAATGTTAAAGACGGAACGTGCTGCTGGCCAGCAACAATAGCTGCAATCTTTCTGAGATCTACTTGGACACCATCGATAGAGATGACAAAACCAAGAAGTAAACACTTGGGTAGCAAACTCACATTCAGAAATGTTTAGTTATAGTTTGCTTTCGCTTAAGGTTTAAAAATTATTTGTCAAGTGCTATAAATGCTCCGCCAATGTACTACTACTATAGACGAGTATGTCATCAAAGTAAGCAACACAAAATTTATTCAAAATGGGTTTTAAGCACCTCATTCATCCAACACATGAAGGTAGATGGGACATTGCACAACCCAAACAGCATTACTCTCTATTCATTTAATCCTCGGCGAGTATTGAATGTTGTCTTTAACTTATCGCCATGGCTCGCCAAGGCAAATGCAGATTTAATGATAACCACTGTGAAGGTCAAATTATCATAAAATAGTATAACTTGCTAGTTTCTCTAAGAATTCTTCAATTATTCGCACCGGGAATTTGAACTTATTTTATTAATCACTCAATTATCCATACACATATGCCAACAACATCATTTTTGAAACAAGTAAAGCGGGGACTTCACAGGGGCTCGAGCTCAACTGGATCAACTTCTTATCCAGTAAATCATCAACTATTTGTTGCAAAATTGAATGCTCCTTTAGACTCATTGTGTAATGAGGAAGGTTGGGAAGTACAGCTCAAGAGACAAATCAATTTGTTGTAATGTTTTCAGAGGTAGGGTCTCGAGTGTCACACCCCAGAATCAAATTTGTAAGAAATTGTCTATTTTCAACCACTCTTCTTCCATCTGTCATGCTTACAAACCCTTCATTATATTCTCTAGATCACATGGTCCTCTGTCTATAGCCTTGCATGGCTTGTTCCCCTCTGAAATTGGATCATGTCCTCTATCGTTGTACTGGAAAATCAACCATCGGGTGTCCTCGCTGCCAACAATTAAAGCACGGCCTAGTCATCAGAAAACACAATCCACTGTCTCTTACCACATCGAGCACACTCCAGTACACTCCCTACACTGGACTCAGATGCAGATCCTTGCATGTTGTCTAAAAATCTACCCATATTTTCATTGCTCTCTCTCCTAGTTATGTCATTTCTCGATCTCTTCTTGTTCATATCACGTCTGAATAGTAGAATAGCCAAGTCATTTTCCACCAGTCTCGCTCTCTCAACCAGCTCTAAAAACTCCTGAATACTCAATTGTACAAGTGAATGTCTCAATTTACCTCGCACTCTTCTCAAGAATCTATAGCACTTCTCATCTGTTGTACTGATCAATTGTGATGTGTACCTTTCCAGTGCAGTAAACTTCGCCTAATATTACATCATTATCATGTTCCCCTACTCCAATCTCATGAAAGTCTCATGCATCTACTATAAGGCTGACAGAGGTACGAATCAATCTTTGAAAACAACAAACTCTGCCCAAGAAATCTCCACATTCATCTTGCCCTGAAATTTCTCCCTCTTTTATCTTAGCCACCATCTTTATGTTTCTCCTTCAAATAGAAATATTGTATGTGGTACTTTTGAAATCTCTGGGCACTGCATGTTGTCAAATATCTTATCTATACACAATAATGAGTCACTCTACAGCTCTCTTGAACAACGAGGGCTTCAACTAATGGAACATCTACAATGACATGTCCTCTTCAGTCTCCTTATGTCCCGCCTATCTACTTTGAGCATCACTCATAACCTGCACACTGATGATTGATAATGATTAGAACATAAACATATATATTGATTCTTTTATCTTGCATTAAAAACAGTGATATAGTTTTGGTTACCTGTTCGACTAATTTTGGTTAGCTCATTGTGTAAATTTTAATGATTTCAGGTAAGGAAAAATATCATGATCGTGAGCAGTAATATTGATAAAGATCATCAGATTCTTCTTTAAATTTTGTTATGCATTTTTTTTATTCTTTTATAGTTAGGAGATTGTGATAGATTAGTAATTGTAGTGCTCTCCTAGCTAGTGTAAATATCATTTTTGACAAATGAATAACATAAATATTTTGATGTATGTGATTTTAGTTAATTTGCTAGTTAATATTTATATTGATAATTTATAGAATCTCTAGTATATTTTTAAAATAATAAATAAACAATTATTCCAAATTTGATACTAGGGCATGACAAAATTGGTATCAAAGAGTTTGTTGGAAGAATTAGATTGTAATCAGAATTATAGGAAGTGATTATGAGTGGGGTAAAAGTTGGGTGGTATATATTTGTCATTTATGTATTAATTAATTGAATTGCATGTTGAATTTGTGTGTTATTGATTAGGAAAAAGAATTTTATCAATGAATAGATGGGTTAAATTTATCAAGATACACAAAATGAACTAAGTGCAATAGTAATAATGTCAGTGAGTTTTGCTAGTTTGATGCAGCTAGCCAGAGGACCTACACAGTCTACTACACCAACACTGCCACCCATACGACCTACAATATACAGTCTGATCCATCAAAGTGATAGAGATGCACCTAGAGGATCCATTGGTAAAATTTTAATTTTTATAATTACAATTGCATTTGAATTTTTGCATGGTATATTTGATGAGGACATCGTCAGCAATTTCGACATGTGT